GCCTGGGGGTGCTGCGTCTGGAGCTGCTGAGCCTGGGGTTTCTCCTGCTGCTGCGTCTCGCCGGGAGCCCCTCTCTCCACAGGAGCTGCGCGAGTGGTTTGCTCGCCGCTGGAGGCGTGCTACTGGAGCTGGAGCTTCTTCGACTGTCGAGGGTGCTGGTCCTGCCGGACCCGGAGTTGCTGGGCCTGCGGGTCCTACTGGAGCTGGAGCCACTGAGGGTGTTGGTGCTGAGACAGCTGCTGTCTGTCCTGGCGGTGGTTCTGCTGCTGGTGCTGCTGGAGGTCCTGCTGCTGGAGGTGCTGGTGGCGCTGGTGCTGTCGCTGAGGGTGCTGGTGCTGTACCTGCTGAGTCTGGAGTTGCCGCGCGGCCTCGGCCGTACTTCGTTCCGCTCCTGCAGCAAGTTCTTGGTCTTTCTCCTTCGGTAGAGTGTCCACAGCCTGTCCAGTCGCAGTCCCTGTTGGAGCCTTCCTCTCCACTGCCTGCTCCCTCTCCTTACACTGGTCCTACTGGAGGTCTTGCTGAGCGTCGTGAGCCTGCGTCTCGTCCTGCGTCGCCTGTTCGTGTTGCTCGCACTAGTGGTCGCGGTTCGCGTCAGCGTCCTCCTCCTGTCCCTGGCACGCACCGGATGTCTCTGCGTCCGTCCACTGCTCCTCTGCGTGCCCCTTTGCCTTCTCCTCCTGAGTCCTCTCTTCCTGCTCTTGCAGACCCTGAGTTGGACTCTCTTCGTGCTGCCAGTCCTACTGTAACGCGTCTCCTTGCTACTGTCGTCACTGACCCCTCGTTTGAGTCCACTGCTACGTCTGCCCTTGTCGCTGAGCTCGTCGACTTTGCTGCTCGCTGTCGTCTAGACTACGCTGCTAGTCTTGTTTCTGAGTCAGCGTCTGACTATCCTACGTCCGTCGGGGGTGACTGTGCTCTTGGCACGGACGTCCTAGAGGACAGGCAGGAGGAGTTACAGTGTCTGGCGGCTGCTTCACCTCATATGCGTCTGTACTGCTTGCTCCTGAGGGAGACCCGTATGCACTAGACATCCCGACTCCGCGCTCTTACGCGGAGGCCGTAGAGGGTCCCTACTCGTCTCAGTGGCAGGCAGCTATGGATGCAGAGATGGCTTCCTGGAAGTCCACAGGCACCTACGTTGACGCAGTTCCCCCTCCTGGGGCGAACATCGTGAGTGGCATGTGGATCTTCAGGGTGAAGCGGCCGCCGGGCTCTCCACCTGTCTTCAAGGCGCGGTACGTTGCTCGTGGCTTCAGTCAGCGGCAGGGAGTTGACTACTTTCAGACCTTCTCTCCCACCCCGAAGATGACCACTCTTCGGGTGCTGCTGCACATAGCCGCTCAGCGCGACTACGAGCTTCACTCTCTCGACTTCAGCACTGCGTTCCTGCAGGGTAGCCTGCACGAGGAGATCTGGCTGCGCCGTCCACCTGGCTTCACTGGGACTTTCCCTCCTGGCACCCAGTGGAGCCTCCGACGGCCAGTCTACGGTCTCCGCCAGGCACCACGTGAGTGGCACGACACACTGAGGACTACGCTTGCGGCTCTTGGGTTCGCTCCTTCTACTGCTGACCCGTCGCTGTTTCTGCGCACTGACACTTCTCTGCCGCCGTTCTACATCCTCGTGTACGTCGACGACTTGGTCTTTGCCACAGCGGACACTGCTGGACTCGCCTACGTGAAGTCCGAGCTACTGAAGAGACACACGTGCACAGACCTGGGTGAACTGCGAAGCTACCTTGGTTTGCAGATCACTCGGGACAGAGCACGCCGCACCATTACCTTGACTCAGTCACACATGGTGCAGCAGGTCCTTCAGCGCTTCGGCTTCACGTACTCCTCGCCTCAGGCCACTCCTCTGTCTACTCGCCACTCGCTCTCAGCTCTGCCTTGCATACCCTCTGAGCATTCTTGCACGCTATGTTGCTCCTGGGAGACACCGACCAGAGCACATGGCTGCAGCGAAGAGGGTGTTGCGCTACCTGTGCAGTACGTCGGGCATGGGGCTAGTGCTTGGAGGGCGGAGTCCAGTGGTCCTTACAGGGCACGCGGACGCTTCTTGGGCTGACGACCAGGCTACGCAGCGGTCGTCACAGGGTTACACCTTCAGTCTTGGTTCCGGCTCTGTCTCGTGGCGGGCTACTCGCTCGTCTTCGGTTCTCAGCTCCAGTTGTGAGGCTGAGATCTACGCTGGGGCCATGGCTGCACAGGAGCTTCGCTGGCTCACCTACCTGCTGACTGACCTTGGAGAGCCGCCTCGTTCTCCTCCAGTGCTGTACGTAGACAACAAGGCCATGCTGGCCTTGTGTCGAGAGCAGCGTCTGGAGCACAGAACGAAGCACATTGCTCTTCGCTACTTCCTTGCTCGTGAGCTGCAGCAGCGTGGACAGTTGCGGCTTGCGTACGTGGCCTCTGAGGCCAACACTGCTGATGTGTTCACCAAGGCACTCGCGCCTTGTGACCATCAGCGCTTCTGCACCCAGCTGGGTCTTGTGCCTGTCTTGCCTCACTTGCTCTCCTCTTGACTTTACTTGTACTGTGACATATATGTACCTGCTCTTGCTTGTCTAGTTTTATATATATATGTCTGTACTCCTGCATGTGAACTGGCCTCTGGCCCTGCTCTTGTGCTCGGACTGTGTGGTGACGTTGTGATCCACCCTGAGCTTGCTCTGCTTTGCTTTACTTGACTGGTCTTGTGACCCCTTGTTCTCCCCCACTTTGCCTATGGGGGTGTGTCAGATTTATATGACATAGTTGCTGTAGGCTGTAGTGGGGTAGCACATATGGGGTACAGGGTTTCTAGGGTTGTATTTGTACCCAATCTTTCCTTAGTCATTCATTCCTGTTTACTTGTTTCACAGTGCATATATCCCACTTGCTCGCACAGCGCCAGAAACCCGCTACTGTAGTATTGGACGGAACCGAGTTGGCGCCAAGTGCGGAGCTTCTGACGCGCTGCGATCGAAGCCGCAATTGGCTCAAATCAAGCGCGCAGACCTGCACACCACACGTCCCACATGCGATATTGGGGCACCTTTACAAAATACGACGGCGCTTAGGGTCCGGTTTGTCCTTGCCGTGTTGGTAGAGTCGCATAGTCATTCGTCTTCGTGACGATGATGCGCCATCAATCCATGGCGGGTCCTCGCAGCAGCGACACGGTGTAACGAATCTTCGCCGTATCCTCCGAGACGTAGTTGGCGTCGAAGAAAACGTTCATCGTGAACAACCATGCCTGAACGGTAGGACCGCCCTATTGACTCGGGTCAAAGCCTGGCGGGCGCTGCGGCTTCAGCGGCATCGGTGACGGCAGTGCCGAATCGTTGATCGGTGCCGAGATCGTGACGCGAGGCTGGTTCCTGGCCGCATTCGTCGCTTCGTGGTGTGTCGTGCCGTGGTCGTCGTCTCTGTCGTGGTGGACGACGCCATCACTGGCCGCGCTCGCGGGTTGCCCCACACTTGCGTGTTGTGATGCTTGTGGTGCGGGCTGTACCGGAGTGCCAGGTGCTTGTGATTGCGCTTGTTGTGCTCGTGCGATGTCATTCTGCAAGGAAGTGCGTTCCGCCGTCAGCGCCGCGTGTTCTTCAGAGTTTTCGTGCAGTTGTCGCAGCAGCTCGTTCAAGCGGTCCTACGTGAGCGTCGTGACGTCGATATGTTCGGCCATTTCGAAGGGCGTCGGCTCGTCTTAGTCCAGGCGCAGTCGTGGCTGCACGCGTTTACAAGAGAACGCGAGGACAGCGGCTCCTAGGGGCTAAGGTGCGTGAGTCACTTCGAGTGAAAAATCAAAAGTTGATTTCCTGGGGTGCAGAGATGCGCGGTCCGAAAGAAAGTAGCTCTGATTACCAAGTGTTACAGGTGCAATGAATTGAGATAGCGGGGATTGCACTAAGGTGTCAAACGAGTACAAAATGTGAGCGAAGGCATGAGTGAACATTTATACGCGAAACATGCAAACGGTAACGCGGTGCGTGCGAGCTAGCTAGTGCTAGGCTGGCATTGAGGCTCGGGCTAGTCCCGAAGCGTAGGCCGACACGGCCGGGCCAGCGGTGCATGGTTAGGTGAAATAGTGCGCGCGAAGTTGGCGAAGCCCTGTTAGTAGTAACGGGCGAACAACGGCTGCTGCTGTACGCGATGTTGTAGGTCGCGGTAAGGAATGTCAGAAAATCCCTTACACTATTCCCCCCCCCACGTATCTGCAAATGGCTTCAGCATCCTATCTTGATACATTAATTACTATGAACATATATTTCTTAGGCGTGTGGGCTAGTTGGATTTGTCCCACGATAATGAATGTGATTTCAAGCATCCCAAAAGTATAGGTACTTCACAGGGCCTCAGATTGGTTTTGGGCTAGGCTGAACAATCAGACTTGGTACAAAAAAGTATGCTGAAAATCATATAAATTAGCCATTTTATGCCATTTTACACTATAAAATTCATAGGTTTTCCTGTTTTTTCCAAAAAAATGCTGAAAAATCAGCCCTGGTTCTAAACGAAGTCTGAAATCTCAGCCTTTTTTTTTTACCTAAATCAGCCTTTTTTCGCTGACTTCTGTTGCCCTGGTACTTCATCTCTGGCAGTTGCTACGGTACATTGATGATCCAGTGGTCTAGGCTGTGAGTAGCTGTTTGTATAATGAGCTTTGAATGAAACGAAACCTGGCGCACGTTGAGATTACGGTTCATAAACGTTTGTGCAGTGTGTTTTATGAACATTTCTTAAGCCAGTGGGGAAGTGTATAAACCATCAAAGGCCGCTGATGTACACCTTCACCGTCAAGTAACCCCTCACTGTGGCAGCCCCATTATCTCCTGCAGCGCCTCCATGGACACGCGGTGATGTGTTCCTTCATGCAGGCTGCTCCTCACATGCACCCCCTCATGCCAATGCACGATCTCAGCTTAGCAGCCCCATGATCTCCTCCAGAGCCTCCAAGGACACCTTGTGATGTGTTCCTTCAAGCAAGCTACTCTCAAGTTGCTTCCCAAAAGTGACCCCTCACTGTGGCAGCCCCATGATCTCCTCAAGAGCCTCCATTGACACCTTGTGATGTGTTCCTTGAGGCAAATCACTCCACACGTGCCGAATCATTGCCCCCTTGGGCCCTGTCAGCTCGCCGTAAGGGACTATAATCACCTTCCCTTTCCACTGCTCCTGACGAACGATGGTGTTTAGATTTGCCTGCTCCCACACGTGATGATATCTATGAAACTCGTCTGCTTCAGTGATCGTGTACCATTGCTTGAAGAACTGTGGGGAGTGGGAGGAGAAAGGGGGGAGTGGGGAGGGGGCAACAGTCAACTCAATATTCAAATTGCTTGCTCAACACGTGACTGCAAGCATGTTGCGCAAACACGTGACTGCAAGCCTGTTGCTCAAACACGTGACTGCAAGCGTGTTGCTCAAACACGTGACTGCAAGCATGTTGCGCAAACACGTGACTGCAAGCATGTTGCTCAAACGCGTGACTGCAAGCATGTTGCGCAAACACGTGACTGCAAGCTTGTTGCTCAAACACGTGACTGCAAGCGTGTTGCTCAAACACGTGACTGCAAGCATGTTGCTCGAACACGCGCGAATGCAATCCGAGCTCGTTCGATCGAAAGACTCCCAACCCCTTTCTTCCCCTTCCTCCCCTCTTCTCCCCCCACCCCCGCCCAAAAAGCACCTGATTTACATGTGAAGAAGCTCACCTCAAAAGTGTCCAGTGATCGCCTACAAAGATGAAGACATCAGCTCACCTCTACTCCCCTGCATTGAGATAGTCGTGCCCTTCCATAAATGGCACATCGGCGCTCCCATCATACCCCCCCACTGCGTCCCCGTTCCGTGGTATCAGAGCCACCTGTAGGAAAGCTCAAGCTCACCTCAAAGGTATCGAGTGATCGTCTGCACAAAATCACCCCTGCATTAATATAGTCGTGCCCTTCCATAAATAGCACATCGGCGCCCCCATCATACCCCCCCACTGCGTCCCCGTTCCGTGGTATCAGAGCCACCTGTAGGAAAGCTCAAGCTCACCTCAAAGGTATCGAGTGATCGTCTGCACAAAATCACCCCTGCATTGATATAGTCGTGCCCTTCCATAAATAGCACATCGGCGCCCCCATCATACCCCCCCACTGCGTCCCCGTTCCGTGGTATCAGAGCCACCTGTAGAAAAGCTTAAGCTCACCTCAAAGGTATCGAGTGATCGTCTGCACAAAATCACCCCTGCATTGATATAGTCGTGCCCTTCCATAAATAGCACATCGGCGCTCCCATCATACCCCCCCACTGTGTCCCCGTTCCGTGGTACCAGCACCACAGGTCCCTCCGGCTGTAGCGCGGTGGCCGGTTGTAGCAGCAGGGTAGGGTCCTGTGGGACCCACACCTGTCCTTCCAAGGAGTCTGTGACATTCGCCCTCAGCAGCCAGTCGAAATAATTCTGGTGGAAGGGGCAAACAAGGGTATGAGAGGCACAGGGCACGGCTGTAGTGCGGTGGCCGGCTGTAGCAGCAGTGCAGAGTCTTGTGGGACCCACACCTGGCTGTCCAGCGAGGCTGTGACTTCAGCCAGTTGAAGTAATTCTGGGGATAAGAAAGCGGTGATGCGCGGTGAGGAGGGATGAGGAGGAGCGGGGAGGGTGAGGAGGGGTGAGGCAGGGTGAGGAGGGGTGAGGCAGGGTGAGGAGGGGTGAGGCAGGGTGAGGAGGGGTGAGGCAGGGTGAGGAGGGGTGAGGCAGGGTGAGGAGGGGCGCATTGTTCACAATCCATGTCCTGCTGGGACCCACACCTGGCCGTCCAGTGAGTCTGTCACTTGGGCATCCAGCAGCCAGTTGAAGTCGTTCTGGGAAGAAGGAAGTGGTGAGGAGGAGCGAGGAGGAGCGAGGAGGGGTGACGAGGGGTGAGGAGGGGTGAGGAGGGGTGAGGAGGGGTGAGGAGGGGTGAGGAGGGGTGCATCGTTCACATTTCATGGCCTGTGGGAACCTCACCCTGTTGACTTGCGCATTTGTCAGGAAAACAATGGCTGGTGAATGCTTGAAGAGAAAGTGAGAATGCACTCACAGGCTGCTTGATGGTCTAAAGAAGGCTTGTACGCCGAAACCGGTTACCACCGATTTTTTTACACAAGAGCGTTTTACAAAGTACTACCAACAACTACTGGTGTTGAATCCTAAGTTGCTGCCACGTATCGAACTCAATGGCACCTAATTGGTGTCCTCTTCCACTAAAACAATGGCTGGTGAATGCTTGAAGAGAAAGTGAGAATGCACTCACAGGCTGCTTGATGGTCTGAATCCAGGCTTGGCTTCGAGTGAGAGGTTGTGGTGGCTCATGCGCATCGCATGTAGGCATCTGAGTCGAGTAAGAAGGGCTGGTGCAGGCTTGAAGCTTGAACGAGCATGATGGGGCGAGCATGAACTCACAGGCTGCTTGATGGTTTGAATCCAGGCTTGGCTTCGACTGAGAGGTTGTGGTGGTTCATTCGCATGTAAGCGTCTGAGTCGACAAACAAGGCCCACTGGCAGCAGCACGATAGCTGCTCCTGCAGAAACGGTATCTGCGGGGGAGAAGCAGGAGATAGCAGGAATAAACAAGCAATGCAGGGTGCTGAATGGCATCAAACCAGGCTTCGACTGAGACGTTGTGGTGGTTCAACTTTTGAGTCGACTCAAAAGTCCACTCAAAAGTCAACTCAAAAGTCCACTTTTGAGTCGACACACAAGTCCACTCAAAAGTCAACTCAAAAGTCGACTGAGACGTTGTGGTGGTTTATTCGTGCACATGTAAGCGCCTTAGTCAACAGACAAGGCCCACTGGCAGCAGCATGCCAATTGCTCCTGCAGAAACGGGAGGGCAGGGAAGGCAGGTGAGGGCAGGGAAGGCAGGTGAGGGCAGGGAAGGCAGGTGAGGGCAGGGAAGGCAGGTGAGGGCAGGGTGGTTCTTGAGAATCCGCTCAAAAGAGGGGGTGGTGGGCTCGGATGGGCTCATGAGCTCTTACATTCGCATGTCAGCATCTGAGTGGATAAAGAAGGGCCACTGGCAGCAGCATGATAGCTGCTCCTGCAAAAACGGTATCTGCAGGGGAGGGCAGGTAACGGCAAGAATTGCAAGTGATGTGGGGTAACTGACGCTCACCTTGAAGAATGAGGGGTGCCCATCCTGGGTGTATCTAAGTGACTTTTGAGAATTCTTAAAATTCACTCGAATAACGGCAAGAATTGCAAGTGATGTGGGGTAACTGACACTCACCTTGAAGCATGAGGGGTGCCCATCCTGGGTGTATTTAAGTGACTTTTGAAAATTCTCAAAAGTCACTCGAATAACGGCAAGAATTGCAAGTGATGTGGGGTAACTGACGCTCACCTTGAAGCATGAGGGGTGCCCATCCTGGGTGTGTCTAAGTGACTTTTGAGAATTCTCAAAAGTCACTCGAATAGCGGCAAGAATTGCAAGTGATGTGGGGTAACTGACGCTCACCTTGAAGCACGAGGGGTGTCCATCCTGGGTGTATCTGAACCAGGGGAGGCGAATCAGTGCATCAGGGTAACTGACGCTCACCTTGAAGCAAGCACAGTCACTGATGACGCTCACCTTGAAGCAAGCACAGTCACTGATGACGCTCACCTTGAACCACGAGGGGTGCCTATCCTGGGTGTGTCATTGGGTGTTGCCCTCACCCCACTCACGCCCACCTTGAACCACGAGGGGTGTCTATCCTGGGTGTATTTCGACCCATTTCTCTCCATGTTGCAAGTTGCAATTGCAACCCCTCGCATTGTAACAAATGTATAATCACCTCTAACACGCACCTTGAACCAGGATGGGTGTCTATCCTGGGTGTATTTCGACCCATTTCCCACAGCGAAGCGATACCCATGCCGCCGCGCGTATATCCTGAAGGAGAGAAATGGAGAGATTCGCACAAATCTCGAAGGAATAGGGATTTTTGGTCCAAACATTAGGGGTTTCTGTCTGAAAATTAGGGGTTTCTGGTCCAAGAATTAGGGGTTTCTGGTCCAAGAATTAGGGGTTTCTGGTCCAAGAATTAGGGGTTTCTGGTCCAAGAATTAGGGGTTTCTGGTCCAAGAATTAGGGGTTTCTGGTCCAAGAATTAGGGGTTCTGGTCTGAGGAACAAGAAAAACGGAATATTTTTAAGAAACATTTACTCCGTTGACCTTCCATTTCACCAGCATCTGAAACCCGTGCTGGCGCGGCGCGAATATATCCTTCCTGGTGGAGGGAGACAGGTATGATGGAACGGGAAAACAAGGTGACGGCCAGAGTGACCCACATGGGCATCTTCATCTGGTCTTCACTCCATCCGCATCCTCCACCCTAGGCAGCCCACCACCCTAGGCAGCCCACCACTTACTAACATGTCAACACCGTAAAAAACACGCACATGCACACATGCACACGCACACACGCGTGCGCGCGCACACACACACACATACGAGTGCTGTATTGCAAGTCATACGCACATGTTGACGGCCAGAGCCACCCAAATGGGCATCTTCAGCTGATCCTCATTCCCATCCGCGCCCACCACCCTAGGCAGCGCACCATAAAACCTCCTCCATGCCTCAGACATCCCTTTAATTTCCCCATCCTTCCCCTGCCCCTCATCCTTCCCCTGCCCCTCATCCTTCCCCTGCCCCTCATCCTTCCCCTGCCCCCTATCCTTCCCCTGTCCCTCATCCTTCCCCTGCCCCCCATCCTTCCCCTGCCCCCCATCCTTCCCCTGCCCCCCGGCCTCTCCCACTCCTTCTTTCAACCGCCTACCCCACCATCCTCCATACCCACCCCACTCTCTATCCCTCGCCCTCCCCCCCAACCTCCCCCCTTCCACTTCCCTCTCACTCCGTTCCTGCATCTCCCCCCTCCGCCCTACCTGTCCCCCATCCCCTGCCCCCGTCCCTACACCCTCCCCCTCTCTCCCTTCCCCCCCCAACCCTCTCTCTCCCTAATCCTTCACCCCCCACCCTTTCCACCCCCAGGTCTCTCAAGAGCCGCGCTACAGCCGCATCAACCGGCTTTTGAGTCGCCCCCACCACCCCCTCTGCCTCCGCCCCCAGGTCCCTCAGGAGCCGCGCTACAGCCGCCTGCACTTGTTTTTGAGTAGAATTGAATGCTTCCCCCCCCTCTGCCCCCAGGTCTCTCAGCAACCGCTCTACAGCCGCCTGCACAGCCAGCACCCCCTCGGGGTTGTAGCGCGAGTCGAGAGTGAGAATGCAGCCGGGCCGCTCCCACTCTGCTTGAGGCAACCGCACCGAAGGGGAGAGGTTCCATAGCTGACTGATGTCCGACCGAGCCTGAGGTTGAGGTTCGGAAACGAAGGATGTGCATAGAAGACATGGCTGATTCCGCGATCCACATAGGTCAAAGCAGACCAGCATCAACTCGCTCTCCTGGTTACAACATGGCTAGCCGCATAGCACTGAACGAGAGGCACGAGTATTGAGCCTATTAAACGAACCACTTACTTGATTAGTCGTGGCAATCATGCACAGCACGAGAACGAGAAGCACAAGGAGCCAAACCGCGGAGCCAACGTTGCATGACCGCGATTCCACCACACTAGTGGCGCGGCCCTTCTGGCATGATTCAGGCGTCAGATTCTCATGATCCGCTTTTCCGCCGCGCGGTTCTAACACGTCCCAATCGCCTGCTCCGCGCAGAATTGCCAATTTCTTCCTCCAATCCAGAAAGACTTGCGAGATTCCAAACATGATCTGCTCCGTCCAATTCCGATCTTGATCTCGATCTTGATCCAAATCGCGGTCCGAACTTTCCCTGGAAGCCTGCGCGCCGTCTTCCTCTCGTCTGCATGTTTTCATCTCTGGGTACATACTGTCCGCTTCGACGAGCTTCTCAGACTGTTTCTTAGGCGCAGAAAAAACAGACTTTTTGGCCGTGTTCCCGTCACTTGCAGATTGACTCCCAGGGTAAGTACCCGCCTCAACGAGCTTTCCCGACGGGATATGAAGCACCTCTTGACTCTGAGCCTCGACGAATCCAGATTCCCGTGGACCAGAAGCGTCCGAAGCTTCGCGGGCCGAGAATTCGTCAATCTCGATGCTTTTTCCAATCAATGTCGAAGCATGAAGCGACTTTTGAGTCGACTCAAAAGTCATCAATGTCGAAGCATGAATCTCGGCGGATCTAGACTCCCGTGGACCGGAAGCGTCGGGGGCTTCATCACGGCGCGAGAATTCGTCAATCTCGACACGTTCCTCAGCCATCAATGTCCGAAGCACACACACGGACAGAGAAACACTCTAAAATTCGCCGTTCGTCCAACGAAGTGACACAATAACTTCTTAAATTAGACAGCTTGGCTCGCGCGGCGGCTCCCGCAAACGGTTTGCCCGCGATGCCGCAAATTCAGCAAATAAAACGGCGGTACGCAAACACGTGCCGCGCGGGTCCCTAGTCGCAAAATAGGCAGTTGCCGACCCGAAATTCACAAAAAAAAAAAAGGCCTCTCAGCAGGCATCGCAACGGAAATTACTAATACGCGGCATGCTGTTGGTTGAAACCGGAAATTTCTCCGTACCCGCACAAACCGACAGACTGATAATTGTAGTACATGATTTTCTTGGGCTGAAATGACTGCAGAAGAAACAACCGTGGAACATCCTAGCAGAAGGAACAATCGTGGTCTCGCGCTTTCGAGAGACACGCCAAGCAAGGGCGCTGCGGGGCAATCTTAGGGCGGGTGCGTTCCCATGTTGCACCGGGAATTGCATGGTTCATCCGTTGTTGTTTAGAACGATATTCAGCGGTGCACAGCGGTTATTTGACTTGCACAGCTGTTTTGCACCGTGACTCAGGACGCGGTAAAAGTGGAGTTCGTTTTTTAGCACGGTTATAGGCGGTTGTGTATCTTTTGTATACAAAACGCGGGATTTCAGTGTGGTGACCGGCTCGATTTCCCTGCAATCGAGCACGCGGGATTTCAGTGCGGTACCGCGTCCTCAAGATGATTACTGTAAACCAACTGGAAACGTTACTTTTCTGTCACGCGCTGAAAAGAAAAATACTCCTGATGCCTGTTTGAGCCCCTCCCGGTTGCCTTGTGAAGGGGGCATATAAGCTGTCACGAGGCATTTCGGTTAATTTCGTCAATTCGCAGCTAGCTAAAAAGGATTCGCATGTGCTTATATACAATATATGTTACCATATTTGACTTCAGTCTATTCTGCTTGACTTCGGTCTGTTCGTTACTATTGGTTGAACACCACGCGACGCGCTTGTAATGTAGGTGCATGAAGCTGGGGAAACAACCTCGGGTGCAGCGTATCCATCCGGCGCAAGGCAAATTCGCGTGCATGGGGTGAGCATCAGGTGCAGTACGTACATAAGTGCTGACTTCACATATGGGGTTCGGAACTAGGTGCGGAATAGAGGCGCAGCGCAATAAGGGCGCCGCGGAATAGGGACGCAGTGGACCAGGGGCGCAGCGGATAAGGGGCGCAGCACATCGATAACCGTATTAATCCTATCCCCCAACTTCAAATATTATAACTTTGTCCAGAGTGTCTACCACAGTTTTGAAGCTTGAGAAAACATTTCCTTGCTCTAAATCCACCGCTACATCATGCATAAATAACAGATGTTCTAGCTTAGAGGCCCTTCCTAAAAGAGTCCCATTTCCTCAACGAGTAGAATTTTCACATGAGTCCTAGGTGTATCCCCTCCTCTACAGTCCCATTTTTGACGGGAAATCTTGCACCTTGACTGAATCATTGCACGAATCAGTTCAGCAGCCAATTAGAGGACGCAAATCGAACCTGTCAGAACATTTAGAGAAAATAAAACGAAAGGAAGTTTTGATTCACTATTTACTTTTTGCAGTTGTGTTTGTCTGTTTATCTTTACCACTCTTGTGTCGAAATCCTGTTGCGCGGTTCCCCACGAGCTCCGACGATGCCATTGTGAAATAAGGTAGTTAAGGGTAAGAGCCATAGCTAGGACTGACCTAGCTAGGCAAGGAAAGTTTAGAAAAGAGAGGGGGTTTTGCACTAGCAAGCAAAGGGATACATATACGAAACCCTAAGGGGTTATACTCGCTATAGAGTACCCCACTGCAGGCTAGAGAACAAATATAACATTCTGACACACCCCCATAGTCAAAGTGGGGTGTAATCAGCGGAGCAAGCAAAACAGAACAAGCTCAAGGTGGATCACAATGTCACCACACATTCTGAGCACAAGTTCAAGAAGCAATAGTTTAAAGTTAACAATTATGAGCAAAGCTAGAGGTAGTCACAACGGGCAAGTGAGGAGGAGGAGAGAGAGTGAGAGGAGAGGAGATAGGAGGCGACGGATGAAGCTGCAGACACACGGGCAACAGGAGGCGGACTGGCACAGCGGCTACCGGACGAAGTCCCCGGAATACAAGGGTAACTGGCCCCCCGGCTTAAGTAGCAGCAGACGAGCAACGGACCCTCGGGCGGCTGGCACAGGTGGCTACAACTGGGCTACCGGACGAAGTCCCCGGACTACAGGTGCTGCTGGCGACACGACGACAACCTCCATTCAGCTTCCCCAAACTATCCTACTCCCCCTGGCACACGCCCACTGCTACACCGCTAGCTCCACTCACCCTTCACCCCCCCCTAGTACCACTCCTCCGGCTCCAACACGTCCACCCCCCCCCTCAGCGGCAGCTGCAGCACAAGGAGACGGAGGAGGAGGAGGAGCAGGGAGCGGTACAGAGTATGGTCACCCCCATACCCCTCACCCCCAAACCCTAAGTTAGGAGAATAAGGAGTAGGAGGGGTGGGGCGGTAGTAGAGGCACTGGGAACAGCGGGGAGGGCAGGGAAGGCAAGAAATGGACCCACCACGCAGGGCTGACGTTTCATATTAGGCCTCCCTGATTCCGGGGAAAATTTTTCCCCTCTATTATGAGTGCACATTTTTCAGAATAATGCTACTCTGATTCCTCAGGGTTGATAAGTATATAACTCTGATTGTTCAGGGTCGAAAATCGAGGATCAGAGTAGTAACGCGTCCTTTGTTACAGGGGAAAAAGTCTCCCTCTGCGTAAAGTTTGCGCTCTGTGTTTCGCGCACACTTTGAGTGCGCTAATTTCCACCCTTTTAGTGTTACAAAATGGTATTTATGCACACGTTTTAGTGGGGGGAATGTGAAAAGAAAGAACGAGAATGAATTGACTATGAACGAAGTGAGTACAAATAGGAAACCCTAATTGGGTTGTACCCCCTATGGGATACCCCACTATAGCCTACACAAATAAGTAAGCTATAATATTCTGACACACCCCCATAGGCAAAGTGGGGGAGAACAAGGGGTCACAAGACCAGTCAAGCAAAGCAAAGCAAAGCTCAGGGTGGATCACAAAGTCACCACACATTCCGAGCACAAGTTCAGGGGCCACAAGGCCAGTTCACATGCAAGATCATATATAGAGATATACAAGAGTCAAGCAAGCAAGAGCAAGAGTATATATAGGTCAAGGTACAAGCAAGGTCAAGAAGTGAGCAAGTGAGGCAAGACAGGCACAAGACCCAGCTGCGTGCAGCAACGCTGATGATCACAAGGCGCAAGTGCCTTGGTGAAGACATCAGCAGTGTTGGCCTCAGAGGCCACGTACGCAAGTGGCAACTGTCCACGCTGCTGTAGCTCACGAGCAAGAAAGTAGCGGAGAGCAATGTGCTTTGTCCTGTACTCCAGTCGCTGCTCTCGACACAAGGCCAGCATGGCCTTGTTGTCTACGTACAGGACTGGAGGAGAACGAGGCGGCTCTCCAAGGTCGGTCAGCAGGTAGGTGAGCCAGCGAAGCTCCTAAGCAGCCATAGCCCCGGCGTAGATCTCAGCCTCACAACTGGAGCCGAGAACAGAAGACGAGCGGGTAGCCCGCCACGAAACAGAGCCGGAACCAAGGCTGAAGGTGTAACCCTGTGACGACCGCTGCGTAGCCTGTTCGTCAGCCCAAGAAGCGTCCGCGTGCCCAGTGAGGACCACTGGACTGCGCCCTCCAAGCACTAGCCCCATGCCTGACGTACTGCACAAGTAGCGCAACACCCTCTTCGCTGCAGCCATGTGCTCTGGTCGGTGTCTCCCAGGAGCAACATAGCGTGCGAGAATGCTAAGAGGGTATGCAAGGTCAGGTCGTGTGCAGGTCATCAGGTATATGAGGCAGCCAACAAGCTCTGCATACGGACCACTCGACTCTACGGACTCATCCGAAGGCAGAGCTGAGAGCGAGTGGCGAGTAGGCAGAGGAGTGGCCTGAGGCGAGGAGTACGTGAAGCCGAAGCGCTGAAGGACCTGCTGCACCATGTGTGACTGAGTCAGGGTAATGGTGCGGCGTGCTCTGTCCCGGGTGATCTGCAAGCCAAGGTAGCTGCGCAGTTCACCCAGGTCAGTGCACGTGTGTCTCTTCTGCAGCTCGGACTTCACGTAGGCGAGTCCAGCAGTGTCAGCTGTGGCAAAGACCAAGTCGTCGACGTACACGAGGATGTAGAACGGCGGCAGAGAGGTGTCGGTGCGCAGAAACAGCGACGGGTCGGCAGTAGAAGGAGCAAACCCAAGTGCCGCCAGCGTAGTCCTCAGTGTGTCGTGCCACTCACGTGGCGCCTGGCGGAGACCGTAGACCGGACGCCGGAGACTCCACTGGGTACCAGGAGGGAAAGACCCAGTGAAGCCAGGTGGGCGACGCAGCCAGATCTCCTCGTGCAGGCTGCCCTGCAAGAAAGCAG